TATTGCGGTTGTCGGATTTTCAATTATTGAAAATTGCCACTACGCGGGGCCCCCTAAATCACCATACCCCCGTCCGCTACGCCACTGTTTAAAGCACTATCCCAGTTCTATTTTTGTGCCTTTTCACTTTCCCCTTTGAAACAGAGGGCTCTATCACCCGGCACAAGGCGCGACGCAATTGTTGTTTGCTAGTTTCAGCTCTGCGCAAGAGTTCATCTTAACTGAAAGCTACGTCCTGTTTGCTGGCCTTGCATCATGCACCTGTCAGTCAGTCAGTCAGTCAGTCAGTCAGTCAGCACGTAACCTCAAAGGGTTAAACAAATAACGCACAGCACTACTACGCTTACAAAAAAGTTTGCGCTGTTATAATTCACTTACCTTTTAATGCATTTAGGTGCGATTATAACCTGCTATTAAAAACAACAACAATGACTGAATGTTTTGAATGAGAAGCTGTAATGTAGCCGTGGTGGGATGAATTTTGGTGTGGCGCCTCGCCATAGCAGAATGAATGTAGCTGAAACCATGGAGTACTATACAGGAGTTATGATTATCTATTATAGAATTTTGGGGTTTTTAATTTGTGGATCTCCTGACTCGCCTGCAGGCACGTGCACACATACGGCATATGCCCTTTTTAGTCTTGGATAGAAAGTGCCCTTCCACAATGATCTGAAGTGCCCCTGAGACACACCCAGACCCGCTCTTCAGTTTGCGGGCAACAACCCCCCCTTCCATACGCGCGCGATAACTGTCACTACCCGTGTGTGTGTGTGTGTGTGTGTGTGTGTGTGTGTGTGTGTGTGTGTGTGTGTGTGTGTGTGTGTGTGTGTGTGTGTGTGTGTGTGTGTGTGTGTGTGTGTGTGTGTGTGTGTGTGTGTGTGTGTGTGTGTGCGTGCGTGCGTGCGTGCGTGCGTGCGTGCGTGCGTGCGTGCGTGCGTGCGTGCGTGCGTGCGTGCGTGCGTGCGTGCGTGCGTGCGTGCGTGCGTGCGTGCGTGCGTCTGCCTGCGTGTCTTCTCTATGTATGTGCTTGTGTGTCTGCGCTACTTATCTGTGCTATGTGTGTGTGTGTGTCTGTCTGTCTGCGTGTCTACGATATGTATGTGCGTGTGTGTCTGCGCTACTTGTCTGTGCTATGTGTGTGTTTGTGTGTGTGTCTGCCTGTGTGTCTACGCTATGTATGTGCGTGTGTGTCTGCGCTATTTGTCTGTGCTATTTGTGTGTGTGTCTGCCTGCGTGTCTACACTATGTATGTG